GGCCTAAGATTAGAACCTTGGGGTATTCCACATTTAACTGTTCTTGTCTTGGACATTGTTTGATCTACCTTACATATTTGAATCCTGCTAGAAAGATAGGACTGGAACCAAGCAAGCGTATGCCCTCTTATTCCATAACAATGCATTTTTTTTAACAATATATTATGATCAACACAGTCAAACGCTTTCTTGAGATCCAAAAAAATCACTCCATTTAACAAACCCTTATCCATATTCATTAGCCATTGGTTCGTGATGTTAAGTAGAGAAGTTTGTGTAGAGTGATTTTTCCTAAATCCTGCTTGTTGTTCTGCAAGAATGTGATTAGTTTCAAGATAAATTTCTAGTTGCTCTGTAACTAATTTCTCATATATTTTAGCAACTGAGTATAGAACCGAGATTGGTCTATAATTATCGCAATTAGTTTTGCTTCCAGCCTTATGAATTGGAGAAATGATAGCAATCTTGAAGTCTTCAGGAAATATACCAGTGTTTATAGATGCGTTAAAGATTGCTGACAGGGATGGTGCTATTACCTCAGCAGCGTCTCTTAGAAGTTTACCGGGTATTCTATCATGCCCTACTGATTTAGATGTTTTAATTGTAGAGAGCAACTTATATACCTTAGTTAATGAAACATTTTGTATCGTAAATTGTGTATCGGACCTAGTCACGTATGACTCAAATGTCCTTGAGCTCTGTGGCATGTTATTAACCAAACGAGATGCAACTTCGTTGAAATGTGAATTTAAAGCATCTGCAATTTCATGTTTTTTAGTCAAATTTTGATTATCGTTCTGGATTTCAGATATAACAGTTGTTTTTGACTGTTTGATTGTAAGTTTATTAATTGTTTTCCACATTTTCTTTGGGTTGTTATCACAGTCATTTAAAGTATTTGTAAAGTAAATTGCATGCTTTCGTATTCTTAATTAATCTATTCAAATCATTTCGTGTGCGTTTATAAGCATCATGGAAATGTTTTGATCCTGTCTTAACTGCTTTTTTCTTTAAAAAGTCTCTTCGACGCATAGTTTGTTTAATATTTTCTGTAATCCATGGCGCGTACTCGCTTCTAACAATATTTCTGCAACCGACAGAAATATTGTTTTCCAATTTTCCCACATAATATTTGGATCAAGGCATTGTATCACAGAATACTTGATCATATAAGTATGTGGAAAGGTCTGATTTAAAGTTGTTTGAGTTGTAGTGTTTGAAATTTCTTGATTTAATCACTTTTGGCTCTTTACGGGGAACGGAAATTTTTCTCTGTATATAGATTAAGCTGTGATCACTTATCCCCAGATGAATGACACCCGAGCCATTTATCAATTCCAGTTTATTGGTGAATGCTAGATCTATTAAGGTTTTACTATTAGCTGTAATTCGCGTTGGATCACTAATTAATTGTTGAAATTGGAATGTCTGTGCAATTCCAGCAAGCTTGTTTGTCTGAGCGTTAGCGCTGTTACTATCCAAGCGAGACCAATCGCAGTTATAATCTCCAAGTAAAATTATTTCCTTGTTTTCAGAGTCCATTCGAGTAATTAAATCCTCGAATGCATTGAATATTTCAAGTGTTGTATTGGGTGGTTTATACCAACTATTAATTAAGAATGGTTTGGATTTGGGTTTTGAAATTTCAAGTGTAATTGTTTCGAGATTATCGTCAGTTAAATCGTCTCTTATTATGAAGTTTATTGAGGTTCTTATGTATATTGCGACTCCACCACCATGCCTATTCCTGTCTTTTCTCACAATATCATAACCATTAATTTTTTCCCGCATGTTATTACATTAATTAATCATTACATTAATATTCATTCACTTCTGCACTAGCTAGCAAGGTGCGACTGTGGTGCGCAGTTACGCACATTTCTTAATAGAGTACATGCGTTACGCAAAACCAGACATCAATACATAAATATAGCACGCTAAATGCCAACATTATAATCAGCTCATATTCTAAATGTAGCTTTCGCATAGCATATATAAACGTACACTTGCGCATTTTATGTAAATAACGTATATACAGTAAAGATATCTTAGTCTATCTCGCTTGACGCACTCAAGAGGACATCGACGACTTTCTACGTAAAATAAGTGTTCTGCGAAAAATTTCTACGTGAACCGGCAATCATCTTCAATTTGGAAATCGGAAAGCAATATTCGCTCTAAAAACGTACAGTTTGTTATGAGGTTTTTCAAAATGACTACATCGGGAATCATACAGAATTTAAACACAAAGACATTCACGCGCCTGATCGTCAGGCATCCGCAACCATTGAGTTGGATAAGTCTGATACTCGTCAGAGTAAAGCTGTATATCGCCGCCACTCCCACAAACGTCTACGACCGCACCTACATATTCTGATTTTAAACAGCCAATCCGGTTCTTAGCAACAATTACAATTAAACGTCGATTGGCTGTTTAAACTAGAATTGTAAACATGCAAACTGAATCGTAGACGTTTGTGGGAGTGGCGGTCGTAGACGTTTGTGGGAGTGGCGGCGATACGAATTTTTGATGCGTTTCCACAGTTCGATGAGTCCCGTAATATTGATGATTCGTACATTTTATAAAGAACGCATCGTGCATGCTGGCTCAGTTGTATATTTTAAGTATATAAAATATGTTAGTATATATTGCACGCTTAACCATGAAACAATTTGCATAGCCCCCCCCCCCCCGTCGGGGAACATAGCCCCTCCGTCGGGAAATTTCTGGCGCCACCACTGATTAATGAGAAGACTCGTATGTTTTCTATTTCTTAAACAGGGAACTTAAACATTAAGTTAAACCTATTCCAAATACATTTTCAAACTATTCAAATGATGAAAGTTGTTGTTGTTTTTTAAGCGTTTATTAGCGAGTGGGAAACTTCAACATGGCCGCCATCTATTCAAATGGGGGTAACGCTGGAATATTCTTGGCTTCAATTTTACTAAAAGAGCCGATGCGCTATCTAGTGTATATAAGATATCTAGACTATGGTATGACGGCTTGTCTAGCAGATAGTCTTCAGCCGGGTTTTAAGTCATATAATGGCCAGTTTTACATTTTGTGAAAAAACCATTTACATCTTTTATCTCGAACTATAGCAAGAGATGGAGATTAGGTCAGGTTGCTTTTAAACTGTTGGTTTCTCATTCCGTTATTGAGCAATAAACAAAAATTCCGTATATTCTATAGACGAAACTGAAGTGAAAGAGAGTCTGCCTCGAAAGAAATCAGAATTTCAGCCCCGCAGCAAAATGCATGCAAACAAGGCAAGCGAACGTTTTAGACAGAACTGAGCTATATGCACGATAAACAAAATACATGCACGCGTAAAACTGATTTTTCACGAGTTACGAAAAATCGCAAAAGCTCTTTCACACGAAAAAATCTATAGGCAATCACGACTGATTCACATAAAAATACAAACGAAATTGAATAATTTTGTTTGAATTGAAACTATCTTGCAAGATGCACCGCGCATAACAGTGAATTCACAGCTAACAAACCTTTGGTCCTCAAAATTCATGGTTTACATCCGTTTTCAAAATTACACGACCAGACCAGGCCGAAAATTGCTAGAAAGCAGCCTCGTACCCAGGCGCAAATAACGTACTAAAAATAGCAACACTACAGTGTTTTTACATAGATCAGTGGCTAAGATGAGCGACTGCGCGGGGGTGCTTGGGCAGGACACGACGGCCCAAGCACCCCCGCGCGCTCGCTCATCTTAGCCACTGATCTATATAAAAACACTGTAGTGTTGCTATTTTTAGTACGTTATTTGCGCCTGGGTACGAGGCTTGCTAGAAAGTACAATTGTGCGTTGACATGTCAATGTTATGTCACACGCTGTCACGAACTTTTTAATTGAGTTTTACGGTTCATTGTCGATGTATACGTTTTGTATGCTTTGTGTAAAAAGGTTTAGAAGTACTTTCAAGATATTTTAGTGATAATTCAGATTGCAAAATTTAAGCACAAAAAAATCATAATATTAATAGCGCTATAGACTAGCGCAAGCGGGTTTGATACACACAGAGTTAAATTCGAAGTTTTGACTTTCGAGTTGTTCTTTTTCAAACTTTAAAAGTCAATCAACCCAATTTCTGTTCTGATGATGGTTGTTGTTTTTTTAAGTATGTATACCTAGCAAAATGGGTGCAATACGCATGCGTGTCAACCATGAGTTCCAAAGTTCACTTTTTAAACTCTTTATTAATTAAACATTTACGGCGTTTCATTTATCCAGTTTTGGTTTCAAATTAAGTTCACTCCAATAACCGGTGAATTATTCATATTTTGACACTTACATACTATATAACAAAACACTTATTTACCGAGACCTCCGGAAAGCAGTGTGTTTTGTGGCCCCTCGCCGCCGTTGTTGCCCACGGCTTCGCCTCGGGCAACAACGGCGGTCTCGGGTCCACAAAACACACTGTTTCCCTCGGTCTCAGTAAATAAGTGATAAGTATATTTTAATTGTAGGGCCTGTAGGGTCTGTAGTGTGTTTGGGAGGGGAAGCGGAAGCGAAAGTAGAGAGCTTGGCTTGCGAGGTAGGCTTATTGATACCGGCAGTGAGTCACGTTTCACGGCTAAATATAATAAGGGGCGGACCATTTGATTTTGGAGGGAGGGGGGGGGGGTTGGAAGATTCAGACTGTGCAAGAATTTTTTTCCGCCCAGGCGAACAAGTGACAGATATTTTTTCCCTGTAAAAGTGCAGCGCAAGATTTTTTTCCCCAATATATTTCGCGGCAGGATCACTTTTTTTCCCTCTCATAATAACGGCTTACAGTAATATAAGGCGTTCATATAGCTATCATCAGAGACGTAGCCGGAGTTTTCAGTCAGAGGAGGCCGAGAACTGGATCCCAAGAGAGGCCAAGGAGTTTTCACTGTGCTTTATTTTATATGGTTATGCCTTAAAATGTTCCCTACATGCACTAAAGCGTGCAAGTTTACTTACAAAAAATGTATAACTGCACCAAAACCTAAAACATGCAGGGATAGAGTAGAGTACTCGAAAATGGGGGGAAGTATATGAATGACCTGTAACCTTGGGGGGTTCGGGCCTTCCTCCCCCGAGAAAATTTTAAAATTTGAACCTCGGAAATGCTATTTCCTGCGTTTTCAGCCATGGATTCGTCCACGACAACTTTGCTGTACTAAGCCTAAGGAACACTTACTGTCCCTTATTTTAAACAAGGGAAAATCACAAAACGAGCTTTGATCCCCGAGCCAATAGCGCGGAGCGCCGTTCCGGGCGTAAGCCCGGGGCGAGGGTACTAATTCCCCCCGGCTATTTACACCCGGGGAAACGAAAGCGTTAGCGAAGTCTAAAGTTCATCAATGATCGCGGGCGTGACCAACGATCTTGAGTGGGTGCCTGGGTGGTCATCCTCACTGATCTCAAAAATATGGCCGATCGCTTGTGGCTACAAGGAGTGGGATAAGCAAGATTTCAATTTTAAAAGACTTATATGACATATGTTTGGAAACTATCGTTTCATATACAACAAGCTTGAAGCAATTTTGTTTGAAGAAATGAGAAGAATTGATTTACTATGGGAAATCGTGAAATATACGGCAAGTTTGCTTTCATAGTGAATATTTAATGTTTACGAATTTTGTTGCTTTAACTTTTTGCCTAAAAACATGAACTGTTTTCCTTTTCAACAAAGCTCTAAGTTTTGATTTTCTAAGTTTTCAAATTGATTTGAAGACTGAACTGAAATTCACCTAACAATTTGTTTTATTTGTATTAAACTTATGATATGTTTTATTATCAAG